CATAGGTGTAGGATATGTGCACAAAAAAAATTTATCATGTTTTTAAAATAATAATTTAATCCTCATATAATTTGTGTATAAAAAAAGGGAGGCAGCAAGTAATGGCAAGGGTGGAGGAAGCGACCACAACGATTTGAGAAGAGAGTGGTAGACGGTGACTGTCATGGGTTGGTGGATGGGATGGGTGGCATAAGATTGATTGATTAGGCTATTCAAAAAAGAAATTAACAAAATCCAAATTTAGGAATTGTCTTATGGGATGCAATTTGAGGTAGCTAGTAGTAGTAGATGTAGATAATATATCAATACAAAAATGTTTCAGCCAGTGGGGGTGACCCCCAGGACCACTGGGTTGTGATTGGCCAAGATTTTTTTTTTTTTTTTAATCATCACCTCTCACGTGTGTGGGGAGGAAATGGGGGTCTCAATCACGTTTGATATTAATAATAATACAAATTTAGATTTAACTATTCAGAAATTATTTAAAATTGTTATTTTGTAGTTTAAAATTATTCTACACATGAACCCTATACTAAACAATTTTAATCTCCCCTCCCCTCCCCCCAACAACCATTCACTTAAAATTTTCTAGGTAGATGTGCCTGAGTCTGTAGACTTGCTGGTTTTCAAAAAGTTGGTAAAAAGTTTGATTTTTGACTTTTTTTTATCTTTTTGGTAGCTTTTTTTGTGAATTTTTGTGATTTTTTTGTGTAAAAAAGTCAAAAAGTCAAAAAATTTGCTTTTTTTACAAGTTACCGAATTGCTAGGGATGCAACTCGGGCGGGTTCGGTCTGGTTGGGGGTTTGCCCAAGCCCAGCCCGAATTGTATTTGGCAGTGCCCAAGCCCGACCATGAACCCGAACATTGCTGCCCAAGCCCGGACCAAGCTTTGTATTTTGAACTCGGGTTAGCCCGAATTGCCCGAAATTCGAAATTCACAAGTCCAAAAACCTGTAGGTAGACCAATTATCAACACATTTTTATCACTTCTTGCTTAAGAATCTGGTATACGGTACTTCCAGTTTTCTTTTTCCTATTATTTTTTACTATTTAATAACCTTACTTAAAATAATTTCCATTTGAAAGGGCCCATGAATTTAAAAAATCATAACTGGCTACTAGTTTAAATAGTCAAACAAATTGCTAATCCAACAGTGAAAGACTAACCAAAAAAAAAATATAAAAAATAAAAATTAAGAATAACTCTTTTATTTAATTTATATATATTATATAATTTATATAATATATTAAATTCAATTCGGGTTCGGGTTGCTCGGGTTGGCCACTGATTCTGTCCAAGCCCGACCCGAATTACAATTTGGGCATCAAAAATCTACCCAGGCCCGTCCAGATTACAAGATATAGTTGCTCAAGTCCTAAAAAAACTCGGACTAAGCTCGAGTTGCTCGGGTTAAGGCCGCCCGAGCTGTACCCCTACAAATTGCCCCTTATTCATAATGCATATAACAGATGTTGAGATATTACAAAGAAAAATATAGAAGATTAAAAATTTCAACGAATTTATTGTATTTGTGAATTTTGCATTTTGTATTTTTTTTTTTGTGTGTGTGAATATTTAAAAGTATAGTTTTTGTGATTTTTTAAATAAAAAATACAAAAATTTAATATATGTTCTATTTATTAAATTCTTTTATACTTCTTCACAAATATTTTACTTTCTAAATACATTTAAATTAAGTGCATTTAAGCAAAACAAAACAAAATTATAAACTAAAATATAATATAAAAAAATTCACTAAAACTAACAAAATATGAAAAATTTAAAAATTAAAAACTTGAAAAAAATATTTTAAAAAACTTATAACCAAATAACATTTTGTGCTTCAAAAATAAAATAAAAAATGGAACGAAAATTTCAACTTCATTGTAACGCCCCACTCCCGGGTCGTTAAATACACTAAGATAGCCTTAAAAAAAATACAAGTTTTGCTCCGAAAAAATAATAACTATAAAATCGTCTCCAAATGGTACAATATCCTCCAAATATTCTATAGCACAATTATCTCCAAAATAAGCAATGTTACATCTATCTCTAAATTTAAGAATTACAGTGGTGGGTCCCAAATCTCTATATTAATAAATCTTTTTAATCTCAATTTTGAGCTCCACTAAAATCTGTTCCGCACCTAAAAAATAAATTAATTCGGGAAGTATACAATACGACAAGAATACAAGGCTCGGATACAGAATAAATTAACAAGAATCCAACAATTTATGACATCAAATCAACGATACGATAATCAAGCAATTTATCAAATTGCACAACAAATCAACTATAATTTATCTGGACCAAATACCTGGTCCTACTCAGTACATGACCAGTGAATAGATTCATTTATTCACCCACCTCACCCAAGCTCCACGCTTATCCGGGTATATTGGTGTAAACAATTAATAAGATTCACTCGATCCATGTACGGAGTATTTCCATGTCATTCAGCCAGACAAATCACCATTTAACACAGAAATATTTGTAGAGAATTTTACCAAACGATCAGAATATCAACGATTCAACAACGAACGATTTTACGAAATCTATTAATAACCACATTAATCAAGTGGATTACAAATTGAGGATGATTAAAAATATAGAACTCTTTGCAAAGAGATTTAAATAGAGCATATTGTATACAACCCGAATTTACCTCAAAATGATTAATTCCATCACCATAAATCTGAAATTGCTCCATGGATCTCCAAAAATAACTTTGATTAAACTTCTAAGGCATAAAGTATGTATAATTTAATAAAATCTACAACTCTCAATTTATTTATTTATTTTATAAAATACTCATTTTCACTCCAAACACTCCAATATCTAAATTTAATATTTCTACTCTACGCAATTTATGAGAGATTTATGAGAGGGGAAGAACCGAACGAAGAGATGAATGTGAGGAGCTACTCTCAGTCTGAGCTGATTTATAGAGGGATAAAGGAATGAAAGAAGAATAAAAAAATTAAAAGAAATGTAAAGTTCAAAGAGTAATGCTAGGGACACCAAATTTTCTACCAAACAAATGACCAAATGTCTCACATAGGTGTGGGGTCCGCAATTTTGTGGGCCTCACACCATGTGAGACATTTGGTCATTTATTTAGTAAAAAATTTGAGACTTCTAGCATTTTCCAAGTTCAAATGATGGATGGTGGGTTTGGGGGTACCGTGGGTGTTGCCCACGGTTTGGTATTGTTTTAGTTTTTTTTTTTTGGATGGGGAATGGTAGGATTTATTATTAAATGAGAATAAATAACAATATGATAGATATAAAGAGATGAGATAAATACAAATAAATAATTTAAAATTAAATTCTTATCTAAAAATCTCACCGCTAAATTATTATAATAAACTACCAATACCACTCACTAAATATTAATACCTCAAAATACGGGGTGTTACATTCATTTAGCATTCTTGCGTATATAGAAGTACAAATTACTGGTTGGCAGTGGCGAAGCCAAGAAAATAAATCAGAGGGGTACTTCTTAATTATATTATTGAAAATATTTACAAAACTATTTCACATAAATTTTTACAATTGGCTTCGAGAAAGATAAAAAAAATAAATAATAATAATCAGTGTGTTTGGTTTAAATTTTTTGAATTAAGTTTTTTGAAAATTAAGTTTTTATTTTATTTTATTTGTTTTTAGTGAATATTTTTAAAATTTTAAGCATTTTTTTTTACTTTTTTAGATGCATGATGTATCTAAAAAAAATAAAATATTTGTGAAAAAATATTTTTAAAAATTAATAAATACATAAAAATACGAAAAATGTACTGATTTTTTTTATTTTTTTATATTTTTGGTATTTACTGAATTTTTTAAAAAACAAATTCCCAAAAATTATACTTTTTCAATATATTTATGTTAGGTGTGTCTAAAAATTAAAAAAAATTACTTAAAATATTTTAAAAATTCAATAAAAACAAAAAAAATACGAAAAACGAAAACATTGCTTAAAATTTTTTGAAAAGTGTTTTTAGAAAACTAAAACCAAACAAAGTGAATCTGCTATCTGTAATTAGTGTATCATGGATAACATTAAAAAAAATCATGGATATAAAGTTTTAAAATAAATTATATAATGATAAAGTAATTTTTTAAACAAAATATGCATAAAAATTCTATATAATAGTCATACTACGTAATCATTAACATGTGATATTACCAACCAATAATAAAGAAACACATGGAGGATGAACCCTACATATTAAATATAACTAACAATTCAATAAATTTTATATTTTCATTGAGATTAATTATATCTGCATATATTGTGATAGAGATCACCATTATATTGAAATAGAGATCACCAGTATATTGAAATTTTCATAAATAATAATATCGTAGTCTCTTTATTTTCAATCAAAATAATCATATTGTTTTTATAATTTTAAAAATACATTGACATTTCACTCTAAATAATATTTTTATAATTTTTTTATATAAAATTTTTTCTTTATGTTTGTAAAAAAAAAATAAAAAAATAATTCCAAAACTCGGGGGCACGTGACCCCCTGGCCCCTCCTTCCCTCCGCCCCTGTTGGTTGGTCTATGGGTATTACATGGCGATACTTTTTATCAATCATAAATCACTATATCCTTTATGTTCTTAATCATTCAACATAAAATCATAAATCTCACATCTTCTACTAATAAAATAACGCTGCCACAAACTACCCAATAACTTCTCATTTATAAGTCCCATCCGCCACTAATTCTTACGGGTTCCAAATACTTCCCAAAATCAAACAAGTAACAATTAAATTTTCTCCAAGAAAATCCAAATTTAAATTCAAACCAAACCCACTAGGATTTACATAAAAAGAAAAGTTTCCAAAACCTTCAATACAATTAGAAACACAACCCATCTCTCTATATAAACAACTCATCCATACTTGTCTCTTTTCAAAAAACCCCCTACACTTCCCATTACCCTGCTTCAACAATACTTGAGAGAGAGAGAGAGAGAGAGATGGCTTACCTTATTGAAGAAGTCCTAGGCCTATATGCTCGAGTCTACAAGTGGAACCAAAAGTACGACAACATCGATGTTTACCCTCCTGTTTCAAGATCACAAGGCCACTTCAATTTACGAGTCAAGAGCGAGATCAAACGAGTCTCTCAAACCAAAGAAGGTTATATTACCAATGCCAAACACGACACGTCTATAGAACAAAAAGACACCATCAAATTCGACTACAAAACCTTACGCGACAAAGACTCCATGGAATGTTGGCTTCGTCTCGCAATTCCAACAACAAAACTCTTCCCCTTGGAAATTATTCCAAAGCTAGCCCGAGACATATCTAACTACCTCTTCAGTTGCTTTCGATTCAACAACATTAACAACCAAACCTCCTCGAAGAAACCCGTGATCGTCATCAATGTACATGTTTCCATGTTGAGAATCGCCTGCATTCATTCCATGCTTTCGGTGCCTACCCATTCATCAAACAAAGAAGATGAAACTGATGGTGGTGTTGTTATTAACAACCAAAAATGTGCATATGTTAATGGGAATTCGAATGAGATAGAGTTTCGTGTGTGTAAAACAGATGACGAAGAGATTGTTGTTGGTACGTTAAATCTAGTTCAGGCTGCGGTGAAGGTGAAGAGATTTGATGGCGATGAATCGGTAGATGATAATGATAAGTGTTCGATTTGTTTGGAGAGGTTTAAGAGAGATTTTATAATTGCTATGACTCCTTGCTCGCATGTGTTCCACAGAGACTGTGTGTTCCAGTGGCTGCCAAACACCGGTCAATGCCCCATGTGTAGATCATCTTGTACTACCGAGATATAGTTCATCAGAAAATCTAGGAACACACAAATCAAATTGTAGGATTGATCATAGGGTTGGTAGTTGTCTGATTATATTATTGGTTTACGTGCGGATAATTGAATTAATCAATTCTTTGATTTTTTTATTTTAAGTAATCTGTATTAAGTTGTGTTCGTGTGTGATATTGATGAAAATGTATTTCTTATCATTTCATTATTCAATCTGGAAAGTACATACAATCTGTATTTATAGAAGGTAAACAATTGCTGATCTAAGCAGTTAACTAACTCCTAACAGTGTAACTAACTCCTAACAAATTAGCTAACCAATTCCTAACTAATTACATGATATTACAGATAAAACTCTGTTCTGGACCATATCAGAATCTGTTGCTAAAGTTGAAGCAGTTGAAGCCGTAGCTGCTGCTTCTGCAGAAACTGTTGCTGAAGTTGAAGCCGTGGCTGCTTCTGTATAATAATTCTTATCACCCTCGGGCAAGCTGATGGGAGAGGGAGAGACCAGAAGCTTGGCTTGAAGATAGTGAAATCGTGACACTGAGAGAGGCTTTGTGAATATGTCAGCAATCTGATCAAGAGAAGGAATGTATTTGAGAAGTAGCTGTTTGGTAGCAATCTTTTCTCGAATGAAGTGACAATCCACTTCAATGTGTTTTGATCGAGTGTGAAACACGGGATTGGAAGCCAAGGCAATAGCAGACAGGTTGTCACACCAAAGGAGAGGAGGAATAGGAGAGTGAAGCTGAAGTTCACGAAGTAAGTGAGTGGACTGCACGGGAACTGTGGCTGGTAGTGCAGATTTGGACTGCACGGGAACTGTGGCTGGTAGGGCAGATTTGGACTGCATGGGAACTGTGGCTGGTAGTGCAGATTGAACAGATTTAGGATATGTAGTGAACTGCACGGGATCTGGAGCTGCTGAAGAAGGGAAAGATGAAGAAGGAGAAGGAGACCAGAAAAAGGATTGAAGCATAGACAAGGTCTGAGAAGGAGGAGGAGAAGTACTAGCAAAAGGAAAAATATTTTCATGGAAAATGACATGACGAGACAGATAAACCTTACCAGAGGAAGGATCAAGACACCGATATCCTTTGTAAGAAGGATGATAACCAAGAAAAACACACAAAGTGGATTTAGGTTGAAGTTTATGAGAAGTGTGTGACTTAAGCCAAGGAAAACATTGACATCCAAACACACGCATAAAGGAGTAATCAGGTGCTTTGTGAAACAATAATTCATAAGGAGAAGAATGAGGAGCCTTAGATTTAGGCATGCGATTAATTAGATAAGTGGCTGCAGAAATAGCATCAAACCAATATTTAATAGGTATAGAAGAATGGTGAAGCAGTGCAATGGCAGTCTCAGTGATGTGTCTATGTTTTCTCTCAGAGACTCCATTCTGAGGAGGTGTATAGGGACAAGAAATTTGATGAAGAATACCATGAGAATTAAAAAATTTAGTCATAGAGGCATTAACAAACTCAGTACCCCCATCTGTACGAAAAATTTTCAAGTGAGTGGAAAATTGAGTACCAACATATGCTGTGAATTCTACAAATTTATCAAATACTTCACTTTTGTAACACAACGGATAAAGCCAAGTAAATTTGCTATATTCATCAACAAAGAGTACATAGTATTTATAACCGGAAAGAGAAAGGGAAAAAGGTCCCCATACATCACTGTGAATGAGAGAAAATGGTTTTTGAACAGTAGAGTTAGACAATTTGAAAGGTAATCTATGACTCTTTGCTACACAACAATGAACACAAGTAAACTCATCAGTCTTGGTTTTATTACAAGTGGAAGAAAGAAGGTGTTGGAGCTTAGTAAACTTGAGAGATGATGGATGCCCCAATCTCTTGTGCCAAACAGTGGCAGACACTTTATTAGTAGTTGAACTGCAGAATGCATTAGGAGACTGAAATGAAGAAGATGGAATAGCAGCAGAAAAAGGCTTGTGCTTGGTTGTATGAAAGTGATATAAACCATGTGAGTTAAGGCCCTTGTGTAGGATGTCCTTGGTGTGTTTGTCCTGAACAATGAAGGAAGAATCATCAAAAGTGATTGTACAATTATTATCTTTAGTAAGTTTGTGCACAAACACAAGATTGGAAGCAATAGGAGTGTGCAAGACTTTGTTGAGTTTAAAAATATGATGTGGAGTAGGTAACAGACCCTTACCAGTATTAAGAATAGGGATAGAATTACCATTACCAACAGTGATGTGATCAGTGCCTTGGTATGGTTGATGAAGACTCAACTGAGACAAATCATGAGTCATATGATCAGATGCAGCAGAATCAAGATACCAAGGAGAGGAATCATACTGAGGTTGTGGAGAGGAAGCAGAGGCCACAAAAGCTCTGGTGTTTGAAAAACCAGAGGATGATTGTGCTGAAGATGGCCTTGACAGATTTAGAAATTGCTGTGACTGAAGTTGCTGCGACGGATTTGGAGCAGAATAATTTGCATTCAATCGATGCCAACACTCTAGAGCTGAGTGATTAGGTTTTCCACATATCTGACAAATTAAATTGTGATGGTGACTGCTGGATGAGTGTCGACCTCTGTCTCGAGATAAAAAATGTCCTCGAGAGCCATGTCGAGAACCACCTCTGTGACCTTTGACATAAGATCGGCTTTGAGAAGAAAAATTATGAGAAGAACCACGAGAAGCAGTATATGCGACTGAAGGTTCATGATTATTAATGGTCTTGATCGTGGAATGCATGTGAATAGATTCTGAGCATAGAAGAGATGAAAGTTCTTCCATAGAGATGGCTTCTGATCTAGCTCGTATTGTGGTTTTAAAAGCATCAAATGCTGCAGGTAAACCATTCAGTGTAATAAGAACAAGATCTTCTGGATCTACAGGAGAAGAGGCAAGAGCAAGTTGATCAGCTAACTCTTTAATCTGACTCAGATACTCTTCAATTGACTGAGAAGTCTTGGTCAGATTAGTCAATTGATTTTTCAGTTGATGAATGTGACTGCGAGACAATGTAGTAAAACGTTTTGACAGAACTTGCCAAACCTCTGCACTATGTTGAAGATGTAAAACAGAAGAGAAAATTACAGGTGTGAGTGTAGCTGTTAAACAACTCAATAGATGTGCATCAATTTGTTTCCACTGCAGAAATTCTGGATTCACTGCTGTGGTTCCATCTGCATTTGTAATTGTTGATGGTGGAGAAGAATGAGAACCATCAACAAACCCTAGCAGATCTGTAGCACGCAGGATATTAAGAAATTGACTTCTCCAAATGATGAAATTTGAAGAATCCAGTTTTACAGTTATGAAAGAACTAAGATTTGAAATGAGAAGATTCAGATTTGAAGGAAGAGCATTTGAGGTAGGAGTTGCCATTGAAGAAGATTGAACAATTCTGAAGGTTTGGGATTTGTTTGTAGAACCCACGATTTAGGGCAAAACTGAAACATTGCAGTTAACTAACTCCTAACAGTGTAACTAACTCCTAACAAATTAGCTAACCAATTCCTAACTGATTACATGATATTACAGATAAAACTCTGTTCTGGACCATATCAGAATCTGTTGCTGAAGTTGAAGCAGTTGAAGCCGTAGCTGCTGCTTCTGCAGAAACTGTTGCTGAAGTTGAAGCCGTGGCTGCTTCTGTATAATAATTCTTATCAGATATGATTATGATCCGGAATGGCATTAGGTAAAACCTATGGGTCTACTGTTTTTGTGAAAAAGTTTATTTGTCATAGTATTTTTAAAATTATATATTGTCATTTTAATATAAGAGGCATCTCATTATTCTCATCTTGCATCTTCTTTTCATTTTCTACCAATTTTTTTTTTTATTCTATTAGAGTTTGTTTCTATGATATATGAATTTTTTTTATGTATATATATAATTTATATATTGTATTGTACATACATATATGTTTGTATATGTGGTGAGAAAATATTATTTGTTTTTTTAACTCTTTTAGTGATAAAATTATGATTCCATTCCTGATTGTGATATATGGTTCATATATATTGTGTAAGTGATTTTCTGATCACACTGCCCATTTAGTAATCAACTAGAGAGCACCAGCAGAATAGATGACTTCAGTTAACCTGTAACAGAAAGAAAAGGCTCCGGCGGTGGCTCTTCCACCCGGGGGCACTCCGACGATCAAGTTAGTATATTTTCCAAAGATAATCAAGTGCTAAACTCACTACTCAAAGCATAAATTGCGTACCTTAGACCCACGGGGGTGCCTCTTTTTTATAGTTTACTTAATCCTAGTCTCACTAGAAGCCTCACTTCTATGGACTCCAATTCAGTACTTACTTTGGACTCCTCAAGAGATAAAGATAAACTCTTTAAGAGCTTTATCCTTATCTTGGCTAAATCTCTTCTTTATTCTAGGACTCTTGTCCCTTATCTTTTATCCTCTTATCTCGGATTCCGATATCTTCGGGGATAACTTCGGCCTTGCCGAGATCACCTCGGCGTTACGACCAGGATACGTGGCACCTCGGCTGACACGTCGGCGTCACCTTGCCACGTGTTGGTACTCAAAAAATATATCCCCACAACTGCCCCTAGGTTCTATTACCTCGGCATCCTCGGTATTCTGAGGTGATGGAACCTATATCATTCCGTTTTTCCAGTACGTCGGTTTTCTGTATCTTAGCCGAGATCATTATTTTGGCCGATATCCTTTTATTGAAGAACAAGAATTTCAAGAACCCTTCCACGCGTATGAGTTGTCATACACCATAATTCAACCGTTTTTAACCACGCGTTTCTTTCTTACTGGTTCGTACCTGTGACGCGCCCATAAGTCGTCTCTTTCTCACGTGCGCCGTCTGACGTATACGTTCTTCTAGGCGTATTGATTATTTTTTGCTGCCGTTTTCATTTTTGACAAAACATTTCCTCCTTTTTTCATTTTTCTACTTTTGCATCTGATTTCTCTTGCTTTTTCTCTCTCTAAACTCTTTCTTTCGAATCCGCCATTGCTCAAGTTCCAAGCTCTGCA